CTTTAAATAATGCATGAAGGAACCAGCTGTCCTCACCGGTTAGTCTGTGGCCAGGGCTGAGGTGGAAGGCTGAGGACGGTTGCGAGCTGCAGAGCAGGGCTGTGAAGTTTCACCCCTGGGCTCAGCTCCACCTTCTGCAGAAGGAGCTCATTCCCAGAGGGAATCACACATGAAGGGCTTGCACTGCTTCAGGGCATCCATGCTCTGCCTGGGCAGTGGGCACCCAACATGCCCAGGAGCCGCGGTGGGCAGCTGGGGTGGTTCATCGCTCCCAGACACATTGTCGTGCTTCCCCTGGGCTTTTTCCAGCCTGATGTGTGAGGCATGTTTTTTGGACACTCATGGGTGCTCAGAAAGGCCCCTGAGACCAAGGAAGCGGGTTGCTCCTCTTCCCTCCTCTGGGCAGCCAAAATCCCTGCCTGTCCTTTTCCCTTCCTGGCGGGGGGGGGGGGGGGCGGCTGGCCAGGGCAGCAGAGGCGTGGGCTGCGCGCTGCCTGTGGGACCATGGGCCCCCCCAGCTGATGAAATATGTGGGGCAGAACCTCTCCATCCACTCGGGCAGGTGAGTGCCCCGTGGGCAGAGCGGGCTCCTGGGAACCCCCTGCACCCCACAATGCTGGGGGAGGAGCAGCAGCAGCAGCCCCTCGGTCGAGGAGCAGAGAGGCTCTGAGCTGGGGTTGCAAAGGGACTCAGATGCAACCGAGAGGTAGATTAAACCCCCCGGGGTGGAGGAGGAGGGTCCAACTCTTGCAGAAGGGTAAATACAGGAAACCAGAGGTGCATGCTCCTCATTTGGGGAGGGTTACATTGATCCCCTCTCTGCCTGGCCCATGGACCAGAGGGATGTGGGTCCTGGATCTCCACCATGCAGCTGTGCGCTCAGGTGCCTCCAGCGAGGGCCAGGTCTTCTGGCCTTGGGCACTACTGGACTTGACACAAGGATGTCATTGTCCCCTTCTCCCCAGGAACGCTTGGTTACATCCCCTGGCTCCACCCCGCTTCTCTCCCCCACTCCCTCAAAGTGTAGCCTTCGTCCCCCTCCTCTCCTTCACCCATGACATCCGAGGTGGAGGAGTTCCACCTTACGTGCAGCACCTTTTGCAGGTACCGCTCCGTCATGGATATGGTGAAATCGTGGTACCAGGAGAAGGAGCACTACTCCTTCCCTC